CTTAAACCCCTGCAATGGGCACCTGATATAGAATACCCTTGCAGTGTGGCCTCCTGCACTGCAAGGGTTAAATGCTAGTGAAGTCTATGTTTAGAGGAATAAGTGGTTATGCTCATTGCTCTGGCAGAATTCCTCCATGCTGTTCAATCAGTTCCCTGAAGCCTCTTGTCTAAAGTGCTCCAGCTGGTGGTCATACTCTTATCACATACAATGCACGAGCAATAGTTCTGGCTTGAGGACCGCTGTGGCTCACCCAAAATGCAGAGCATCTTTGGGTTGCACTGCCCCTTGTAGTGCAGGGGACATCACAGCAATAATGCATCCAGATTCTTTTATCTGGATTTCAGCTTTAAAATTGGGAATAGTTTTGGTGTAAGGCTACACTTGCACATGTTAAATGCATATTTAAAGCCAACTTATTTTCAGGTTGGGGATAAATAAGGAATTTGTATGATTGAGATGCCATCCCAATAAGAGATGCAATTTACTTCCTGTAGACATTACAGGAAGTGAGTAAATCTTTTCCCCAAGTATTGACTGTGCCAGAACGCAGTGGATATGGTGTGAACAGTATTAAAACCTGTGAAGGCACTGGATGCAGAGCTGTGCGCAGTGAACGGAGCTTTGCGTGCAGTGTCTAGCAATATCCTCTCCCACACAGCCAATCTTATTCCCCCAGAGAAAAGCGTTGGGAGAAAAGTCTGCTTGGTAACTTCTTTCCTGCACAAGTTCTTTCTGTGACTTGTATGCCAAGGATGAGTTTTGCATAAATGAATTATGTACATCAAAAACATTTCATTAGATGGTTAATTAACTGATCAGCATTTTTTTGACTGCAAAAATGACCCAAGTTTAACGAAAAATGAAAATTGCCCCAGTGTGAACTCTTTAATGTTGTACAGGCATTGTCTGAGCTTCAAAGAATCTCCTACAGTTTGGCGTTTTTTGCCGATTTTAATGGGTTAGTATGTCATCTGCATTAAACTAGTCTGCATATCTTGCCTACAAAAGTAAATAAATGATTTAACAGATTTTTAAAATTATGTATTTCCCATAACGTCTTCCAGGACAGCATCACGAGATGGAATCTCCTCCCCCACACACAGGAAACACGTCACCTAATCTGCTTAAAAGACCCTCCTCTCCTCCACTCCCTCAGTCTTTTGTGTTTCCTCAGTCAAGCTGGGGAGCGCGTCACAGAACGCTGAGAGAGGGCTTCCATGTGGTGATGCTGCCCGGGAAAACTGCACTCTATTGGGTGAATATTGGTGTTGTGTTTAACTGCCCCAACAAAGCCTACAGTTATTGGATCTGTCCCAGGGGATGTTAATACAAGAGGCTGTGTTCTGGAAAAAAAATTGACTGGTCCTGGATCTAATCCCTGCATATACTCCTGCATTGAAGGGTGTGATTCAGCAGAATGCACCCCATGCTCTGCTTTATTCGGTGCCAAGTTCTGAAATAGATCTTGCAGGAAAGAGGGCTGCAGTTAGTCTCCAGTCTGTCCTTTCTGGTCTTCATCCTAACCCAATGTCATGTGTTGGTGCATCTAAACAAATTTAATGTGAATGTTAAATCTATATGGAATATTTCAGAGATAAAGCTCTAGTTTGTGGGTTTTAAAACGTTTAGAGCTTTTTCATAAGGGTGTGATTTAGTGTTGCAGTTTACCTTAGGAACAAGCTCATTCATTCCTGTCTGGTATGTGATGGTATTCTGCACAAAGCAAAGCCACCAGTCCTTTGTGAAAGTTTATGAAACGGCAAGATGAAATTGAAACTAGGGATGCACAGATACTGATACTAGTATTGGTGCCAATACAGAGTATTTGGGTGAGTACTCTTAATCGCCCAAATGCTCCGATGCCTAACCAGCTACCTGAGCTTCCGGTACCGGAAAGCTAGGTGGCGAGTCATTACACGCTTCCCGACCAATCGGGAAGCCAGGTGCTATGCAATGACCCATTGCCCGGCTTTCTGATTGGTCGAGAAGCTGGCCAATTGGAAAGCCGGGCAACGAGTAAACGGCTTCCTGATCACTTGGTGACAGAGCATGGAGATGGCTTCCATGCTAATCTGGAAGCCAGGTGGCCAGTCATTACACACTGCCTGGCTTCCTTAACCCCATGATGCCTGAATTTTCAATTATAAGGTGGAGATTGTTCATTTGAATATAGCACATACTATGGAGAAAAATGTAGGTATGATGCAAATTAGCGACACTAGGAATTTAAGTAATAAATTAAAGTTATTGACCAGTACCTGCGGTAAAAATTCAAATGACAATGATCAAAAATCAATAGAATGCCATAAAATCAACAAAGTCGCATGGGAAGAAATATTTTTACTCTTGGGAGCTCTCAAAAGCAGTTTTTGTATCTTATTGAGGCATAGGTGAGCATTGCACTTCAAGCATTTGGTTACACTCTGGCCCTTAGAATTTGGGTGTTTGCAGCGTTGCCGTCCACGTTCAACCACTGGCCAGTGACCCGTAGTATCTGAACAATCTTCCACTGGTGGAAGCTCGATTATCAAAAAAAATGCTGAAATATCAACTTTGCACCCATTATTTTATGTAATCAAGCAGATTACACATACATATAATATTGCCATAACTGCCTAATGTCACAAAGCGAAATCTGCACATAACTTCAAAACTTTTCGTCACCAGGAGTTGACCTCAATTTATAAGCTGTTGCATATTTTTATTTTACAAAAATAACCTAACATTTACACAACTTTTCTCAATTAGCAGTCAGCAGCCAGGTGTATGACTATACCACTGCGACAGGGCGCGATCACTGCTCCCAAAACAATATTTGGTACTCATTGAATACAAATAAACCAGCATTGGCGGAATAAACACACCACCTTGGCTGCAGTCAGGCCGGGAGGGGTATGTGGCAAAAACGCGACGTCAGGCATCGAGGGGTTAATGGGTCTCCGGTATTGGTGAGTACTGAGAAAATCGGTGCTCTTAATACCAAAAACTAGTATCGGTGCATGCCTAACTGAAACCCGTTCTACCTGTCACACTTTGGCATTTGTTTTGGCCCACCCATTAACAAAGTACACAGTACAGAAAAAAATACATTCCTTATTTAGCACTTCAAGTCAGTGTAATGTAAACCTGAGAAACTACCAGCTTCTGTCAAGGTAAGTGTTTTTTTTTTTAAATTGTCCAGAATAGCACAACTCGTGTTACTTTCTCTACTACCCACTGAGGTTCTGGCATTTAACAAATTAGCTCAAAGACAAAGTTCCACGATGGTTTAGGACCTAAGGCTACTCAATAGCACTCTTTTGGTGCCCTATGGGGCTGCAACCAATGAATCGATAGCTTGAGAATTGTCAACTATTCTCATTATCGGTTGGATCCCCTAGCTCTCCTCTATTCTGGGGGGGTACAGCAAGCAGTGGGCGGGTGCAATAGCCAGCCTGCAATTGCACCAGTCTACTGCCTGCTGTGTATACCTGCAGCTGCTGTCTGCAAAATCTTGCCATTGGCAGCTGTCATTACCTGGCTGGAGCTATTCAAGCACCATGTGCTTATAATACAAAATTAAAAGTGAATTTTCAGTTTCGGCCTTACAAATTCTGCTGCGGGAGGTGCATTGCAGAGCCCATTTCAATGGCACCCCAAAAGAGCCTCCCACCCCCAGTGATTGCCTGCGCTGGAACGCACTGCGCCTCCCACCCAGTGATTGTCGCACGGTACTGCAATGCGATTGCCAAAAAATTGTGCACCCAGTTTTATTCTGAAGTAAACTTTGTAACAGTGCATTGTGTGTTTTTTGTTTTAAATTATGGCTGGCATATTTTTTTTTATCAAATAATTGGCCAACTACATGATTATGAAAATCATTAACTGCAGCCCTAGTGCCTTAAGTTCAATCAGGTTCACATGAAGACCCAGTACAGTAACAAATATGGCTGTGCAGCCAAATTGACAGTAAGATGGGTTTGGGACAAGCTATAGATTGCTGTGGTGGTGCTTACGGCAGTCGGGTTTTTATTTGAATGGTTTAAACACTTTTTTTTTTTGTCAAAGTGTTTGCGGCATAACTCCCAAACCACCCACCCCGTTTAGGGAACAAGAGCAATGTTGATATAGCAGTGTTCTATAGGACATGACAGACCACAGAAGAGCTTGTATTATGAACGGCTGTCTGGCAGTATAGCCCTTGCTGTAGCACTTGGCTGATAAAAAAAAAATACATGTTGGTGGTTGCAGCGTAACCGCATTACAGTAATTTTAAAAGGGTTCAATTGGACTGCAAGACCACCCTGTCCACACACGTTAAAACACTGTTGTGAAATGTCATTGCAGGCCCAACTGCATTTTCATCCAGTTAAAGGTAGTGGAAAATCAACATTTACTGGTAGGATCAGTAGCTAACTAATGGGATGCACTGATGCTGTTTTTTTGGTATAAAGTACAGATATTTTGCTTCAGTTACTTGCCAATAGAGTACAGATATCAGTGCTTCCGCTGGCATGGAGCCAGCTTCCCGGGCAAACTAAGTCGGGCAGCAAGTAATTGCCTGGGAATTGTTTGTCGGGCTCATTTATGATTTGCTGAGGTCTGGGCCAATCAGGAAGTCGGGAGATGGGTCATTACTCACCTGGCTTCCTGATTGCCCTGGAAGCTGGCTTAATTGTTCCCTCCAGCACTGCTGGTCAGAGGAAATCTCCCTCTGACCAGAAGTTCTGGTATCGGAGCATTTGGGTAAGTAAGAGAACTCCCAAATACTCGTATCCCTACTGATGACATTGCAGGAGGAACTTGCTGTTTTAGTGCTAGTGAAACAACATCATGTGTAATTCTTGACTTTGCTAATTCTTCCAATTTACCTCTGTGCTGCCACTGTTAGTCTATTAGAGGTAGTGCTATTAAATTGCCGCATTTAAAGCATTGTTATATTGTCTAGTTTACCTTTGATCATACAAGGTTGTTTTGAACCACATTACGTTGGACTAAACATTCACTTTTTTTCCTAGTTTTCAACCTACTCAACAACCCTCTAGGAAAACCACCACCTCTTGGCTTCCTGCCTCTGGATCCTATTGGCTCAGACTTGGTAGAAAAATACTCCTCCCCCCTACTTCGTGGCTCACGATTGGACAGCCGTTCATTTTTAGACTCCCGCTCTAGCAGCCCCTCAGATTCAGATACAAGTGGATTCAGCTCTGGCTCAGATCACCTTTCTGACCTGATTGTAAGTTGACAGCGTTCCTTTCCTGATGAGCTTTTTCTTATGCTGGCCCCACTCAGGTCTTTGAATAAACCACCTGAATGTGCGTGGTTGCCTCTGCTAATGTCTGGGGGGAAAAAAATTGCACTTCCAGAAGCAAGATTTTGGAATGTTAAACTGTTTGCAGTGCAAGAACTTGTGTTTTGGTGGTCTCATAACTGGTTTGATAAAGTTCACTAATTGGTCATATTGTTTACTCCAGTCTAGTCTGCGGATTTCTCCCCCTCTACCATTCCTACCCTTGGGAGGTGTATCTCGAGACCCATTGAAGTTGGGCATTGGCTCAAGGCTGGATCCAGACCATGCTGCTTTAGCAGCAGCAACAGCTTCCCCCATGGGGATGTCTAAAAGATGGCCGGGTGCTTCTGTCTGGCCATCCTGGGACCTTTTAGAATCGGCAGAAGACCCATTTAGCATTGAAAGGGAAGCTCGACTGCATAGACAGGCTGCAGGTAAGAAATTTGTGGCTGTCATGCTGTAAATAACTTTTTTGAAAAGCTGGTAAACTTGGGGATCTGAAATTCCAGACGCCATGGCTGCTAAAATGGCGTCTCCATGTAAGATGTATTTATCCTTTCTAAGTTCGTTTGGAGTATAGTGATTCACTTGGCTAACTTTCTGCAATAATCAGTGGCTAACATGGTACCATACACTATATCCTTTCTATGTCACTATCTTGATTCTATAGTTGAAACAAGGTAGACTAAATCAAAACAATCAAGCTCCAAGAGAAAGACAGCTGCCTCTTGCTATCATGTTTGTTGCTTTGTGCCTGTGACAATAGGGCCATTCAGGAGGAAGCATAGAACAGGAACATGTTTTTCTTGCATAGAAAGCCTGCTTCCATTTATCTTTGGTCTAGATCTGGTTTTGACATGCAGTTTTCATTAAAGATGACCTATGGTTATGCACTTCATCAAATGCACCATGCCAAGTTGCAATTGCCCTGTCTGACTGGTTTACCTTAAGCCAATGTATAGTGTCTTGTACCTATTTTTAAGGTCAAGCTAAACTTAAAGGGGCACTATATTCAAGAGTTAAATCTTAAATGCATTCAAGCTCATTAACTTAACTATTAACAAACGTAGCTTATTTGTGTATCACTTGGCTACAGATCCTTCAATTTTTCTGTTCCCCATGGTCTGTGTCGTAAAGTAGCCACTGATCCAAGCTCACTCCAGAAGGGACAGTGTCGGCACAAGTTCCGAGATTTGGGGGTCCACAGCAGAGTGATGCACAAATAGGTCCAGTATTAATAGTTAAGGTACTTGGATGCATTTTTAAGATTCACGTCTGAGTTTAGTGTCCACTTTAGTGTCCACTTTAAAGTTCAACTGAACTAGACTTTTGAGTTTCTCTCAAGAGCGATTAGAACACTTGTCAGGTTTTCATTGCTGGGTTCTCTTTGTTGGGGAGATTCACGGCCTTGTCTTGGTGAGATTTTACTGAAAGTGAATGAATTCAAAATTTTGGGTGGTCATCAAAACAGGAGTAGGTGGGAAATCTAGTAGATGGGACACTAGTTCCGGTGACCTTGCGGACTCCCACGAATGCACTGACTTTGGGAAGATTTCTTTACTTCCTGTTCAATAGCCACAAATGGAAGTGATGAAATATCTCCAGTGGGACACAAATTGCAAAAAGCAGGGGGAACAGTGGCTATAATCCGCCCTTCGAAATCATTTTGGTTTCAGTTCTACTTTTTTTTTTTTTTTTCACGGTAGCATTGCATATCTTAGCTTTACTGGAAGTCAGTTTACAGAACTGGCAGTGCCTCAAAGCAAGCTGCACTACAGCTAAAGATTAACTTACAATTTCAACTAAATAGATCTGTACCCATTTAAAGCAAAACACCAGGCAAATGTGTTTTTAAAAATCTGTAGTGTAAACTTGGGTATTCCTGCCTTTTTATATAGGCTGGATAATATAGCTTCTGGTGCTAGAGCAGAACTGCAGCACTCGTACTGATTGCCATTCCTCTCTCCTTGCCAAGTCACAGAATGCTTTGTAAATGTGCAAGGGAAGAGAAATAAACCCTGTGGTTTCAATGTAAGTAGCAAGTAGCAGATCTCCTAGCCACAATGGGCCAGAAGGATGGGGTTCTACACAATCGAGCCTAAAAAGACTTGCTGGTAACTTTCACCGATGCCGAATTTAGTTTGTTCAATTTACAACTACAGGTTGGGTTAAAGAATTTTACTTGTCATGCCATGTTTTTTTATACAATTTTGGTTTTCATCCTATCAGCAATTTGCCAGTTAAAACCTCTCATGTGCAGTCTAGCTAGTGCAAGAATTGTATTGCATTATAGGCTCGGAACGGCTACCATAGCATTAAAGTTTTATAACTGGTTAAACAGGTTGCATTCCCCCTTTTTTTTTTTTTTTTTTTTTTTTTTTTTTTTTTAAATGTGTTGCTCCAATTGTACAAATGTTGCATTTAACAGTTATGATGCATATATGGGTATGCTGGGTAAAATAACCTTCTGCATTTTATCCCTGCCATATCTGCTTATTTCTTTACCAGCTGTAAATGAAGCAACTTGCACATGGAGTGGTCAGCTGCCACCTCGCAACTACAAGAATCCGGTTTATTCTTGCAAGGTGTTTCTTGGTGGCGTTCCCTGGGATATCACGGAGAGTGAGTGTACCGCATATTCCTTTTAATCCTGTTCTTATAAAGTTTAAAGGTTCTTCAGTGTCTCTAAACTTGACTGTTTCCACACGTGTGGTTTGAAAGTATGTGCGTATAGCCAAACCCTCATTAAAGTAACCTTAATTTGGAAGTTAAATCTTGCATTCAAGCACCTTGCTATTAATACTGTACCTTGTTTGTGCATCTCAGATAATCTCTGGATCGGTGCTGTCACTGTCCTTATGGAAGGTGACTACTTTTGTTCCCCATGTGTATTTTGTAAAGTAGGAATCGCTCCAAGCCAGCTCCTGTAGACTATAATCCCAATAGAAATCTGTAAACTTAAAGCAGTGGCTAGTTTACAACACACGAGGACCATGGAACAAATGTAGCCCTGCTCCAGAAGGACCATACTGGCATGAATTCAATGAGTTGAGGATCTACAGCCAAGTGATGCACAAAAAATGTTTTCATTAGGTACTTGCATTAAGATTTAACTCCTGAGATTAGTGTCACTTATAGCAGACATTTTACATTCAAAAGTCAAACTATAGCAATGCATACCTCTATGTATTATGATAACCTAGACATGTCCAGTGTAAAATGCTGCGCTTTTGAAATACTTGCACTTGCAGAATATTCACTTCCTGCTTGTATAAGAAATGCAAGTATGCAGCATATAACTAGAACATCTTCTAAAAAACCTTGAATGTCTGTGTGCCTGCTATCACTGCAGTGCCATCTACTCTCACATCTTTTGTGGTGTATAGATAAAACAAAGTTGGGGTATCAGTTCATGATAAAGAGGATTTCTAATGTGGGGAAACATCTGGTTAGGAAACATCTCTTTTGAGCAAAGCAGTCTGCATTGTTCAGTGGCATCTGTGGACGTCAAAGATGCTTTTTTGCATGTCCCCATGTTTCCAGTGAATTAACACTACTGGAACACATTGCTTGGAGTATCTGGGCCTCATTCTAGACCAGCTCAGCCCACTTTTGTCCCCAAGAAAAACACTCTGCTCCCAAGCTTGGGACGAAAGTCCTACTTTCTCAGGGTCACTTCAGACCCCTGCAACATTTTGTGGCTGTGGGACCAGTCTGTTTTGTCTAGACTCTCCTGACACCCAACACAAGGTTCTCTGGCTTTGTGGCTCAGGAATCCAGTTCTGGAGTCGAAAATCTCCTGCATTATCAAGCTGATCCCAGCCTGAAGGACTGGGGCAGAGTCCTAGACACCTTGTTGGTGCAGGGGACTTGGTCACTAGAGGAATCTAGTCTCCCGATCAAGATTCTGGAGTTAATAACAGCCAGCTATTGGCTGAGTATATTTTCTGTGTGGTTAACAAATTGATGGAACCTTGGGGTTTTCAGGACACTGGAGTGGGTTTTTTCTAGTGTGGCTTTAAATAAAATGCCATAAGATTGGTGGTAAAGGGTGTTTGCAAAATTGGTGCCAATACTAAGCATTTTCACCAGTACTCGTGAAAATGCCCCAATACTAAGCGCTGATACCGGCTCTTCAAAACTCTTAAATAGATTTGGGAGCTGTAAGGTCCCACACTTGCTGAGGACATATGCAGCGCCGGCTGAGCATCTCCTCCCCACCGCCCGTGAGACCGAGTATGCAGCATCATCTTCAATGCTGTATAATGGATTGCTGGGGTTTGCAGTCCCTCTACAGCTTGGTCAGTGGCAGAACTACCAGGGTCGTAACGTCCCTTAATAAACACAAACTGGATTTTTCTACTAGTCATATCTGTTTCTTGGATTTCATTAAGGGACCCAGGTCCAACCCCCAGTGTGTTCTATGCCCATATTATGGCTTTTCTATTAAACTGGAGGATGCCTGGAATGGGAGCACTTTTTTGCTGGCTGGCGAGCAGCTTTTGCGTGCCAGTGTAAAATTTCTGTTGGTATAACTCAATTATATTAAGAATATCGAAGTCCTGTGTCCCTTGATTCCAAGAACCAGAGTTCACAGTAAGTACAATATTTTTCTAGCTTAAATGGTGTGAATTAAATAATCCATTGTCGGGCCTTTTATTGCTAGGTTCCTTGCTGTGACAGTTGCCTTCACTAGTTTTCTTCGTAACCACTGTTCCCAAGACCATAATGAGATCTCGCATTTTAAGTTTTGCCAGAACAGGAGGCAAGGGTTCAACCTGTTTGGTGACAACTTGACAAAGGGGAATTCCCCTAGTTTTGTAGCGATTTCCTCACTTCCGGTTGCCTCTTTTGGGATGGCAATTGAAGGGAAATCTCCCCTAAAAGACTGATCGGTTTAAATCCTTCCTTGATCTAAAATGGCTTGTCTGTACAGCCTAATTTTTTTGACTTTTGAATTTTGGTCTTCCTAAAAACTTTTCAGCACTGCTAAGACTACTGTAAAGTAAGATATTGCCCTTTAATTTCTTACTCTGTATCATACTTGCCTCTCTTGCTTTGCAGCTGGCCTGATAAACACATTCCGTGTGTTTGGTGCTCTGAGTGTTGAGTGGCCTGGTAAGGATGGAAAGCATCCACGTTGTCCTCCTAAAGGTAATATGCCTAAAGGTAATGCCAGAGCGGTAGGAGCTTACTTTATTTGAGCACTTTGTGGTGCTGCACAATGGGCCACTTTTGGAACCTCCAGGGCACGGTGATGGGATTACTACAAGGCTTTCAATATTAACCAATTAAAAGCAGCTTTTTTACCTTTTTGGCTAAATTGCCTATGGCATGGGCGCTTGAGTTAATTTAAATCCTACAATGTAAAGTACTTGAAAGCAACCTTTAACCTGTACACCCCTATAGGGTGGCTGGTATGGCTGGTCTAGAAAGATTTAACTAAAAATGGCACAATTTTTGTCAACCTCTTGCACAATGTGGATAGGCCTGTCTTGGTTTATGATTATTGGTTTAATATTGAAGCCTGATATTTAAGTAGATATATACAATCTTTTCATGATGTAGGCTTCCTGACCTTTTTGCCATGTGGCAAAAACTTGTCTTTAGACCTGTATCTTCTGCTTATTGTGAATACTGTTGGTATTTAGAGTTCTAATGCCCTCCCATCAGCATTCTTGACAAGCCACATGCTCCTGCTGTATACTGTTCTAAATTTATAATTATGCTTCAGAATTCCACGTGATCACTGATCAATTGTGTAGCAGACATAGTTGGATTGTGATCAATTCTCAATTTAAAGAGTTTGACGTGGTCTTTAATATTGGTACTGAGAGCAATAAGCTTGCACCCAGAGTCAACTATCTGTCTCTAACAGCAGGTAATTGCTCCTTGTGCAATGACATCCAAACATGGGTGGGCTGTGGGCAGCCTGTCACTGCTTTGTACAGTCTGAGTGGGTGCAGTTGTCCAGAACCACCTGAGATTCCTGCTGCAAGAATCCACAGATCTTTCCGCAGGAATATGCAGCCAGAGCTTAAAGCCTTCTCGTGTAAATGAAACCTACATTTTTAGTTTCTTAGATCTATTGCATTTATATTTCAGGCTACGTGTATCTGGTTTTTGAGTCTGAGAAGTCAGTGCGTGCATTACTCCAGGCCTGCACACAGGATTTGCTAAATCAGGATGGACTGAGTGAACACTACTTCAAAATGTCAAGTCGCAGAATGCGCTGCAAGGAGGTAACAGCCCTTTTGCATTCACAGAAATAACGGGAATGTGGGTGAATTTCTGAAGCTTAAAAAAATTCCTTTTTTGAACACCAATTTTTGTTTGGGCTGTCCAATCTCATAGGTGCAGGTCATTCCTTGGGTGCTGGCAGACAGCAACTTTGTGCGCAGTCCATCACAGCGTCTGGATCCCAGTAAGACTGTATTTGTTGGTGCTTTGCATGGCATGCTAAATGCTGAAGCCCTTGCCTCAATAATGAATGACCTTTTCGGTGGAGTGGTCTATGCTGGCATTGATACTGATAAGCACAAGTACCCAATTGGTGAGCAGCAGTTTTTTTAAATTTTTGTATTGTATTCATTTAATGTAGAACAATGTGTACAAAATGTTTATGGACACTGATGGGTATGGTCCCTGCTGGAGGAAAGCAAATGTAATCAAAAAGGGGAGAAGTGCACCGGATAACTACAGGCCTGTTGGCTTAACATCAATAGTGTGTAAAATATTCCAAGGCAGACTACATGCAGGAATTTGCAAATAAAACTGATAAGTGGTAACATGGTTTAATTGAGGGCTGTTCTTGCCAGACTCTAACATTTTGAGAAGTCAGTGCTAGAGAAAGGAATACCAGTTGACGTGGTCTATCTTGGCTTTGCTAAAGCATTTGACACCGTACCCCACAAACGTTTAATCCATAAACTAAAGTCTACAGGTCTAGATGAAATTGTATGTATATGGGCGGAGAATTCGCTGCAAAAACATATCCAGAGGATAGTGATAAATGGGTTATTCTCGAATTGGGCAAATGTTGGGAGAGGGGTGCCCCTGGCTTCAGCCCTGGGGACCGATCCTATTAATCTTTATCCACAACATAGAGACTGGACTAAATAGCTCAATTTTGTTTTTGGTCACTCTCAGGGGGGACGACCTGGAACTGGAGAGCTCAGTAGGGCTACAAAACTAAAGGGATAGAAGGCCTGAGGTATGAAGACTGCATTCAAAATCTAAACTTATTCACCTTGGAAAAGAGGCGATTAAGAGGACGTTATTGCAGTCTTCAAAATCAATGGGGACCACAATATTGGGAACAAACTGTTTAATCCGAAAACTGAGAACCCAGCGACACGAGGTTAGAGAGGGCTCAATCTTAGAATTTGTAGGGGCTATTTCGCTGAGGTAGTGGAAGAGTGGAATTCCCTACCACAGGCGGTGGTATCTGCTGCTAACATTGATAAATTTAAGGAACTTCAGCAGGTGTTTCTTTCGCAGAATCTACAGGCATATGGGAACTGTTAGAGACGCACGCACACGTGCCCCAAGAACTGAATGCCACCCAGAGACACGGATCAGCCCTATCACTTAACACAAAGGATGAGCAGTTTTTATAAAACTTGTGCAAAGCCAAACATTCTTGCTGCAGTTTTCTTTCAAGTGGGGAAATGTCAGAACTTCTGTTGCCATCAGTTATTTCATTACAGCCTGTCTTGTGTACCTTCCTGGCATCACAAGGATACATGGCAGAAAATCTTGCAAATGGCAGCAAAGCATAGAAGTAGGACGTGAAGAACATGTCAGACTTAATTGCTTTGACTTCTGGTGATGCCTGCACTTTTTTTCTTCCTCCCCCTCCTCCATGCCATCCTGACCGTGGATTTTATCCAGCATTTAAAAAAAAAGTTCCAAACTGTAACCTATTTGGGCTGGGGTTGAACACTATAATAGTTATGCATGTATTTTGTGTGGTAAGAACTCTTCTTCTTTACCAGGTTCTGGGCGTGTCACTTTCAACAACCAGCGCAGTTACCTAAAAGCTGTGAGTGCAGCTTTTGTGGAAATAAAAACTGCCAAGTTTACCAAGAAGGTAAGTGTGGTAGACTTTCCTTAGCCAAGTGCTCTGTAGCTGCTTATGACCTTGGTTTTTAAATAAGCTTGAAGCACAACATAAATTTATATGGGAGAATTTATCAATTCTGGAGCTGATAGAATCTGGAACAGTTGCCCATAGTAACCAATCTGCTTATTTCTACAGTTCAGTTAAGGTTTGAAAAATAAAGCAGATTACGATACGTCCCATAAAGTGGAATCCATCAGGGTTATTCAGAAAAGGGTGAAGTTTGGATAAGGCAGGAGAAGTGAACGAACTAGGGCAACACAGCTGATTTGGAAAAATTCTCCCAATTCAGCTTCCTTTCCAGTTCAGCTACGTTGTCCTAGATTGTTCACTTCTCCTGCCTTCTCCAAACTCTACACCCTTTTGTGAATAACCCTGTAAGTTTGTAGCTCCAGGTATAACTAACATAAAAGTTGTAAAGTTTGCATAAATGGGCTTGCTGCTAAAAAGCCAAGCGGCTACAATTTGAGTTTGACGGAAAGAAGGTTTAACCTCAACCTGAGAAAAAGGGGTCCTTTAGAGTAGTGAAAATATGAAACTCCCTTCCCCAGTAAGTGGTGCTAGCCGTGAGGGTGTTGCTGGATTAAAACAACTTGAAAGTCGTCTTTAGTAAATAGGGATGCACCAATACCAGTAATGGTGCAGATACCCAGTAGTTGGCAGAGTACTCGCCCAAATGCTCCGATGCCTATCCCGCACTTCTGGTGTCAGGAAGTTCGGCGGTGTCATTACACACTGCCTGAGTTTCTGATTGGCCAGAAAGCCGGCTCCATGATCCCTCGTCACTTGGTGACGGAGCATAAAGCCGGGTGCTGTGTAATTTGATCTGGAAGCTGGGTGGTGAGTAATTACCTGCCTCCCAGCTTCCTAATGGGCCAAAAAGCCAGCTCCATGCTTCCTTGTCACCTGGTGATGAGGGAACATGGAGACTGCTTCCTGGCTAATCAGGAAGCTGGGCAGCAAGTCATTACATGTTACCTGGCTTCCTTAATCGGACTTACCAAAAAAAATATCAGTGCTCTTACTCTATACCAAAAAAGGTATCTGTCTTGCTTCCCATACCCTTGTATATTATACTTAATAGGGATGCTCCAACTTGCACAGGTTGAACTAGATTGACCTGTCGACTATAATTGTGGTTCCAAATATAAAAACTTTCTGTGACTCTAGCAGAAGTTCTTGCTATGAGGCTAAAGCCTCAAGAGGCACTGCTGGAGTATGTAATGTACTAACAAAATATATTACCTTTGCATTAGAATAACATGAGCTGCTTTTTGTTAATAAACATAGGAGTTTTCTTGCATTTCATTGTGCAATATATTTTGCAGAAACTTATCCTGCTTACAGGCCTTACCCCATAATAGAGGAGTGACTTGGTGCATGGTCTTGCAAACCACTTTCTTGGTGACATTTAGGGGACATTCTTGCTCTTCACAGCCATATTGTCTAGGATGTTATATTGCTACATGTCTGTAGTGACTGCTTTACTTCATTAGACCTAAGGAATTGGTGGCCCACAAATTATAATTATAATAGTATGGCTTGCCAATGTACAATAGCATGTGGCAGCTTGCTATGCTAATCTGTTCACTCTAAAATTCTGCATGCTACACACACCCCCCAATGCAGTGAACGCATATGCTTGCATGTTCACATCAGTGGATCCAGCAGCCTTTCACTTGCCAGGCTGCACAGATGGCTTTGAATATCCAATCATGTGCATATAAAGTAAACCTGACTTTGATCTTCACATTATTGGCTTGATTGAGGTGAATTTAATTTGAAATGAAGATTCCTTAACTCAGATCAGCCTCATCTCTGGGCATAAAACTTGGTGCAGCAAACCATTATTGCAGGGATGCCTGTAAAGGAGACTGTCTTCAAACTCCCAGAAAAAAAATTGATATCCTAATTAGGGATGTAGGGATACCACTTTTTCAAGACCAAGTACAAGTATCTCACCTCATGTACTTGCCGATACCATATTACTGATACTTTTTCTTAAAGGGACAGGTGACTTTTTTAAAAACAATACAGACTATTGATTTTAGGCCAATTTCTTTATGATTTATGAAGCAAATACAAATGTTTTAGTCTAAAACAGTCTTAAATTTTAAAACTGTTCTAAAACAGTCTTAAGACTGTTTTAGAACAATAAAACATTTGTATTTGCTTTCACACAGCTGTCGTGAAACTACAAATCCGATCATGCATCTTCCTCTGGGATCATTATCCTATTCATGTTAGCAGGGGAGAATTGTAACTCTTGCTGCATTGTACTGGACGTGTGTAACATACATGTACTATGTACTACATATAGAGTACACTGAAGCAATAGATGTACAATTATCCTCGGCTAACATGAATGGGTTAAATGATCTATAGTTTAACTACTTGTTATGTACTATCATGTAATCCAGTCATATTAGCAGGGGATAATAGTAAAACTATTGCTGCAGTGTGTACTCTATGTATTACATATAGAGTACACACTGCACACAATAGATTTACTATTATCCCCTGCTAATAAAGTTCTTAATAGGGACCCCGGGCCCTCACTCACTACGCGATGGACCTCGCTGGTGAGGTCCTAGTCGACGCTGTGCGGGAGTGTAAATTATCATTCTTTCCCAGAGTTTGGCTTAAGAACTGTTCATGTTGCCTCATAACTAGACAGAACACTGAATCTGAATGTAAAAGCTGAAGAGTCTGAATGTAACTGCTAGAAGGCAATATATGGTAAATATGGACCTCTATCATGCTAAAGCCAATTTTATCTAACAGCTACTACATGTATCAATGGCTGCAACCTGACTATGATAAAAGGATAGCAAGTTTACTGGGAGTTAAGTAATTTAACAGTCTCTAGGGGTTTTCCAACCTAAGTGTAGCGTGAGGCAGGATGGGCATTGTAGTTTGCGGAATGCACCGCCTACATACTATGTAAGACTTCAGATCTCCTCCTCACCATAAAAAGGGGGGTCCCAACAAGCCCCCAACCACTTGTCACTTGCTGGGGTAATGTGGGTGAGTAGTGGTAGCAGTAATGGCAGCAAAGGAATGCACTCCTTAAATAACTGCACACAATCAGTCCATATAAACAATATCTACTTGCGGTTCTGGAGAGCTCTCTAGATCTCTCAGGTAGCTGGGCTGCTATGCTGAAGTGCAGTTGAATGTGGCTGGCAGCACTGGTGGTAGAGGCAGCAGTCTCTCCAGGGGTGACATGTCACGGCGTCTGAGTGGAAGAGGTTCCTAACACCGCAGTGGGGGATAGCTAGGCATTCACTAGGCATTAGTGGAACGCCGAGCAATCAACCAGGCCGTGTAATGGAACGGCTATCGTGCAGGGGTAGGAGCCGCATGAAGCGTCGTACATGCGCCGGCTGTTGGGTCCAATGCTGTAGCGTCGGGAAGGTGAGTCTGTCACACCGGTAAGGAAAAAAAAATCATAGCGCAAGCTTCGGCGCTATGTATCGGGGCATTTTGACAAGTACAAGTCAAAATGCCCTGTATCGGGCCCGATTCCGATGCTAGCATCGGTATCGGGACATCCCTACTAATGTCCTAAAGAGCATGTGCTGAGGGTTCTGGAATTTGTCTAGGGTAATATTGCCTTGCTAGCTTTTCATCTCAATCTTGTAAAGTACAGTGGGTTTCATTGGTGATCCTTTTCTGCTTTCAGGTTCAGATTGACCCTTACCTTGAGGATTCAGTGTGCCAGGCTTGCAATTCCCAGCCTGGTCCATTTTTCTGCAGAGATCAGGTAATTCTAAGTTTTTCTAGATCTGTTTGGACCACCATTCGTTATTACTTCAAGCATATTAAAAATGGTGCAAGGAGTAAGGGCAGGTTCACACCACATGCAGATCTGCAGACGACCAGATTGTTTCCGTACCCAAAATGTATCCCTATACTATTTCTGACCTCTGTTCCCACCAGCACAGTCCATTCCAGACCAGAAAAATACTGCTTGTCCTATTTTGTCTGGTCCGGAATGCACTGGAACTGTGGGCAAGTCCATACCTGCATATCATACTTGTACGATTGTGTATGTGACAAAGAAATCTATCTATACCATTTTCCAGACCATATGTGGTCCGGAAAATGGTGTGAACGTGCCCTAAAAGGCGGTGCCTGTGTCGCAGCCTTGTAATGGTGTGACTTCAGTGAATTTGGACTGGTTGTTGGTTTGTGCTTTGCACCGTGCAGCAAAAACAATACACCTAAATGCTTTTTCTGTAAGTAGGTAGTTTGAGGATGTGAAAAATGACACATCAAACTTTTTTTTTACATGTATTGAAAAATGTGTAGACTGCTATTGCATACTACATGAAAAGGCTAATTTGCCTAGATTTCATGCTGACTCTCTGGCTTTGACACCTTTTTGTCATTGCTGACCTGGAAAGACTGTGCAGCTGCATATGTCAAATGTATCTGCTCACCTATTGTGGGTTGGTTAGTCAAGATAGTGGTACCAGTGTCTGGAAAAACAACCATGCAACTAGCATTTTCAGAAGTCGGCCAAGGGTATGTAGCTTACAAGCCGGTCTTCTTTTTAAATGGTTTCTGAGCAATTAAGGTATTTGGGGGCAAAGTAATAGGTAGCACATGATTAGAATTATGTGCAGCACTGGGGTTCAGATTTAAACTCTAGTAAGGGGCATCCATCCTTGTTTTCCCTGTAAAACATACTGGTAGGCTGAAAGATGTCTTAAATTGCCTCATGTCTATGGCTATGATGGGGGGCATTAAATAAACTTAACTGGCTTGGCTTTCATATCAGTGCAGCACACTTTTTGTTAATAATCATTCTTTTATTGTTCATAATAATCTGTATCCTTTCTTCAAAGGTTTGCTTCAAATATTTCTGCCGTTCCTGCTGGCACTGGCAGCACTCAATGGAGATCCTGCGTCATCACCGCCCACTCATGCGTAACCAGAAGAGCCGTGATTCCAGCTAATGTTGCCAATAGGAATATGCTTCAGAGCAAATTTGCTGAAGAGATGATGGGTCCTGTGCCCCTCTAGGCAGCACATGGAGCACTTTTACTTTTTGTTGACAGAAGTCAGTGGATGGTGGGTGAAGTCACGTGGTACGGTTTTGGCACTTGCTGTACATTGTAATGGTTTTTGCACTTGTGCACAGTGAGTTCTTGCCAGGGATAGTGGATTTTTTTCTTTTTTATGGTTATGGAGGTACATATATTGCCTCCCAATGTTTTGCAGTTCCCATTCTGGTCTATCACTTGCTGAGTGTAAGCAGTGTGTGGACAGTCTGAAGGTTTGACTATTAATGCCTCAGTCTTGTGTTTTTGTTTTTTTGTTTTTTTTTATTGCTGGAGCTTCTTGTTTTACATTCCTTGCAAATACTGCGGGTGATGTGTATTCATTGACAGTTGCCCAATTTTTTGCCGTTGCCATACAGTGCCTTCCGATACCTTTCAATTTCTTTAATGTCCCATCTGAACTGCATAAACTGGTTGTTCAGTTGGCATTTTTACTGGAACAACAATGGCAGTATCTGCTCTTTATTTAAATCAAATCATATTTCATATTTTACCCTCCTTATGGGATTTTTACCAGTTCCTTTTTACAGTCTTAGAGTTTTTAAGTAATTTTTTTTTCCTGGCAGCTTTTAACATTAATGCAACTTTTCTGTTTCTGGGAGCTGCTAGTTTAAGAGAATAAACCTAAAATATTTGTACAACTGTACTTCCAACAAAAAGGACAGACTTGAGGCCTTGGCTGAAACAGATGATTACCTTTTGTGTGTGTGTATATAGTTTTAAGGATGTTTGTTGCACTTTTTAATTTGCACTTCAGGGGATGGTAGTTTTTAATCACTTAATGTTTGGCTGGACAGTAAAGGGCTGTAATATATATTTTCTTTTTAAGAATGGGGTAGAGGCTAGAGAGGAGACCTTTCTCCTGGAGGGGATGTGCCCATGCTCTTAGGTTGAGTGGTTTGTTATAGGAAGAAGCTGACTTATGCAAACTGTTGCTAGCCTTTTTGAAATGTGTCCATGTGTTTTATTTCTGTTCCCCCCCCTTCTGTTTGGAAGCTCCGTGCCAAAGATTCCACTGTCTGTAACGTTCCCTCTTTCCAGTAAACGCTGAGCTAAATCTGCACTAGCTATTTTCTGTGAAGCTGTGTAAAGTCTCTACCTCATTGTAGTTATGCAAGCAGAAAAATGCACTTGTCCTACAGATGTGGTGTCGTTTTCTTTGTTTTTGTTTTGGCACATAATAAACACTTTGAAGCAGTAAGGGTCTGGTGTTTCCTTTCTAACCTTTCTGTTCAAGCCATTATCTGTGATTTTACCTTTATTTTACTTTGTTTCCACTGAGCATGGTTACAATGGATTGATACTTGGGCACTAAAAGCAGACCTTTACACTGAAAAATCAAATTCTAACAATGAATCACTCTATGTATGATTACAGACATATCAGATTTGAAATGCTGTAATTTTGAAATACTTGCACTTTCAGAGCATTCACTTCCTGCATTGAAAGGGAAAATGACTTCAGTTTGCCAGGCAATGCATCCTGGGAGGGTTACATCAGCAGAGCATTGCTGGGAAATTTCATCTCAGTGAAAGGCATTGTCGTCACGACATGTTCTAGGTCACATGTTCTAGGTCACATGTTCTAGTCACATGTTCTAGTCACATGTTCTAGTCACATGTTCTAGTCACATGTTCTAGTCACATGTTCTAGTCACATGTTCTAGTCACATGTTCTAGTCACATGTTCTAGTCAGTAAAAGGAGAGCTGGTAATCTGCCCTTGGTAAACATGGCTACTGTCAGAAGACTGGGGAAGAGAAATAAGGTATGCAAATAATACAAAGCTGGCTATTTAGAAGTACTAGCAAAAAAGAACAGAAGAAAGTTGTTTTTTTGGATCACCCTATGACAAGTCCAATAAACTATTGAATGCATTAATTGATATAAAAATATATTTCGTACATAAGGTTAAAAATGTCACTTAGAAAAAAGAAAATAAAGGAAGCATACAGGATTGCCTCCTGCTCCTGCTGAAGTGCCTGCTGGTGCGAAACGCGTAGAGCTCTGAGAACATCACCCACTAGCCTGGTTCCAGTTAGAGGTTCTCCTTTTTATTAATCATATTTCCTCATGAACTGTACAAGTCTATTCCTTGTATGTTAATATCAATTCATTACACAATCATGTTCAATGTAGACTATGGAACTTGGTGGATGCTGACCTTTCCAATAACATCAACCAATTTGGTTCTGGAAAGAGGTTCCTATTTATGAATTGTCCTGTTTCATGAATTGTACCTATGTATTGTATGTTGCCAATCATGTTGTTTTCCAATAATCATGTCAAATTCAACCTGTACCGAGGAACCTAGTGTGTTTTGTATGCTTCATTTTCTTAAGTGACATTTTTAACATTTTGTATGAAATATATCTATCAATTAATGTATTCAATAGTTTATTGGACTTGGCATATGGTGCCCCAAAAAAACCCCAACTTTTTTCTGTTCTTTTTTGCTAGTGTATATACCCAGTGGTTGGCACCTAATTAATCAGTAGGTGCGCACCACTATTAATTTTTTCATATCTAGAAGTATGCATTTGTCTTTTCTCCCAGTGGAGAGCAGTGACAGTCAGGTCTTCCGCAGGGATTCTCCCCTCCCATCTGTTCCAGGGTGTAGTGTGTGGCTGGCTGTGGCTCCCAGCTGCATGCACTCCTGACAATATTTTCAGGATTCTTCTTGACTGTAGCATGGCTGTGCTGTCAGTGGGCATGAGCCTTCGGTCTTTTGGTCACAGGAGTACACTAGTAACCGTACCCCTGCGACCCAAAAGAGTAAAGCCAGAAATGTTTTAAAGAAATTTGGTTATCTAAAGATTAGGCAATTGCTACTGCACATTGGAATCTGCTGCTGCCAATCAACTGTCACTACTTTCTAATTAAACACTTTCCTAATGCATGGAGGCTGCCATTGCTACGTCTTTTACCAGCGGTAGCTTCCTGTCGTGTTTGCCTTTTTGCATCATACTTTGTTGCTTACCTGTAACATGCATGCAAATAAGGATGTTGTGACTTTTTAGATATGAATACTTGTTCAGGTCAGTATTAAACCTTGCTGAATCCAGTTGGGATGGTATACTTGCCAGGCAAACGGCATCTTCAGAAGGCGATTGGCACTGACGGGGAATCGGTTAGAGTACAACTGGCACAAGGTACTTATGATCCACTTGGTTAGAGCTGACAGTGCCCTCTAGTGTTTAAGTTTTAATATACACATGCTGTAATAAACAGTTAGGCAATCTGTTGCAACTTCACAGGGGAAGGAGCTGCTGTGCTGGCCTTTTCGGCTTCTATGGCTGGATTCCAAGTACTCTATGATGGGGGTCCTGGCCTGGGGAAGGAAACCGAAAGTGTCCAATCACAAAAGGGGGGGTAGGGAGGGGGGAATTTATCAAATGGACTGCCCAACTCGAGAACCAGACAATCTAATGTTGCCAATCTAAACTAATACAAGAATTCGAGCAGGAAGGATGAGGAAATAGGTCAGTACTAAAATGGGCATTCACCTTAACTAGTAAATGTTTCTATGAACATGCAAACAAGAGCAGGAAATTTCTAGCATGAGCACTCAAAACAGATGTGCATCCCCCATGATTGAACATATGAGAGACCTCCACTCTAAAACCGAAGATAAAGCCAATCAATGTACATCTTACTGTGAAAACTTTTACAACCTACACCCACAACTTCTCAGGCGAAGAACACTTGGTGAGTTCACACACAATCCAGTAGTTCATAAAGACTTCTTCCAAACCATCAATCCCCACAGAACTTGAATTCTCAATTCCGGGGCAGGAACTGCAAATAGCTCTTAAACAGTTCAAGCCCAGGAAAAGCCCAAATGGCCTTCCAACCCAATACTACAAGACTCTTCAATCTTGTCCCCTGCCTTTTCTTGCAGCATTCAACTCCATGGGGGGAAAAAAAAGGCAACACTCATCTCCAATATTCAGAGGCCCACACTGCAGTAATATCCATGGAAGGGAAGGGCAAAACACACTGCAGCAATTATAGACCAATGTATCTTAATGTAGACCTAAAGTTATACACAAACTCTTTTCCCCTCTCCTACCCTTAAAGGAGAACTATGGGGTTTAAGTCTTTTCCCCATAGTTCTCAGGGTAACGGGAGGACACAAACTAGCGTCCTCCCGTCACTCTAGGCTCAGTATACAGCGAGCTTTACCGCTCGCGGTATACTGAGATGCTGAAGCGGATCCTGACAATTGTGCCGTGATCCGCCCAGCTGCGTGACAGGCAGAGCCAGCTGTACCCGCCCCCTCCCCGTCCGTTCCGCCAGTCAGTGCTGGCGGGGAGGGGGGAATCCAGCCACTCCCCTGCCACGTTAGAGAGCCGTGACAGGATCGAGAGGTGAGCGAACGCCGGTATATGTTCGCTCACCTCCCGATCTACTGAGCCGACCTGTGACAGTCTCATTGTCGCAGGTCGGCTAGAACTAGGAGGTGAGGGAAAAGCACTCACCTCATAGTTCTCCTTTTAATGATTGGGCTTGATTTCAGGCTGAAAGGCATGGGACAATACTAAAAAGGCAATCAATTTAGCCTACTGGCCCTCCAAACAGTCTCCCACTATAAAAGAATGGCTCCTGGAGATTAAAGAGATGCATGGGACTTGCACACCAACACATTGGTAAATACATCAATTGGGATTAAATACATTACATTCAAGAATGAAGATACTTGCAAAAAAATCCAACATGCAGCAATGTTTGACAAATGCTGAAGAACTGTTAGACTGGTTTGGGGTGTAGAGTAGCAGGCTTGTTCGTTTATTTTTTTTTTCTTCCATTTGTAGAATATATTTAGCAAGTTAGACTGGCTAACAGTACATACGGTAGGAATAGCATAGTAAACTGCACAAGGTACATATTGTAATGGCCACTAGTAGGCATATGCTTGTATTATATTTAGTCAATCGTTTGTATTGTGTTAGCATAAAGTAATTAATGTTCATATAAAGGCTGTACCTAGATAGGGCTATGTTGGGGAATGTTAAATGACGAAAGATTTAGAGGGTGAGGTGGGAAAGATAAATCATTATAAGAAATGGTATTTTATGCCATTAAAATTGGAGCACAAGTTCTGTTTTGCTGCAGGATTCTGCCTTGTTGTTCAAAATTCACTGAAATTTTGGTGGAAATCTGGTAGTTCTCGTCCATCCAGGGTGCATTAAAAACTAAAGTAGCTCTGTATTGCAGCGATCAGTGTGTTTGCACAACTGTTGTCTGCATCCTCCCAGCTTCTGTTTACATCCTGCCTGGATGGATGATAGCAGACAGACTTCATTAGGCTACAATCCCTCTAGTGGTTGCCATCAATGGTTCTTTTAGCTGCAATGCAGGATGCAAACAGAGATTAGAGGGCTATAGGTTAAAGTAGGGGACCACACTGGTCTATTTAAAGTGTCAATGTCATAAAACTACATTTTTTTTTATATTTGCTTCAGAATGTCATTTTACACCCTGTATTTTAAAGAACTCCTGGATTTTTTAAATTAACCCTTGCAGTGGGGCTATCCCTGCATTGCAAGGGTTAAGTGCTCTTTTGTGTCTAGGTGCTAAAATAACAAAGATATACTCACCCCAAGCTCCGAGCCAGCCAGCTGTCAGGGTGTTGCCTCCAGCCTGTCTCCTCTTCCACTGCAGCATTGTAATCTTCCTCAGCATCCTCACATCTATATACTGTGTATAGACATGATGATTTATGGGACCTTAGCTGCAAAGGAGGGGGGGAGACATTGGAAGGACCAGTCTAAGAAGAAGCCGGCATGGACCTTTTGGGTGAGTATATCTTGGTTTTTAGTTTTTTCAACCTAGACACAAACAGTTAACCCTTGCTGTGTAGGGGTAGCCCCACTGCAAAGTTAAAGGAGAACTATGAGGTCAGGGCTTTTCCCCATAGTTCTCCTAAGGGTAACTGGAGGACACTAACGTTCTCCCGTGACCCAAAGCTCAGTATATACAGCTCGTGGTATACTGAGATGCTGCAGCCGGAACGAATCCCGACAATGCTGTCTGGATCCACCCAGCTGCGTGAATGACAGCTGGCTCTGCCTATCCGGAGGCAGCTGTGCGCGCCCCCTCCCCGGTCCGTTCCGCCAGTCAGCGCTGGAGGATCGGACGGGAGGGGGAATCTCTGCAGGGAGCCGTGAGTGGCAGTCACGGCTCTCTGCAGGG